ATTTATAAAAGGCGACATCGCCCCGCGTGGGAGAAGGAAAAGGCGACACGACGTCACCTTTTATAAAAATATTTATATATATAATATATATATATAATCTTATATATATATATATACCGAGCGATATACCGAGCGATGTACAGTATCGTACCGTACCGAGCGAATGTCGAAACTCCGGTACGGTATTTCAATCCTTGCATTGATCATCTGATCTTTCAAATGGAAATTACAATTTTACTTATGCCTATCATAACCAAATATTTTCAATCAAAACTACAAATTCTAATCGAGATGCAGCAGAGAAAAAAGTTTTAATTTCCCAACTATTTAGGTTCAACACATGAAACTTTTCTCATTATTGAGCACTATTCAGGATTTTCAATCTAACAAACTTTCATTAAGTTAATGATACTAAAAGGGCATGCATCAGACAACAAACCGTGGTCATTGCTTCATAATTATTAGGTGCCATTGCAAAGCAAGCCCAAAGCGCCTCCTTTCTTATCTGCATGAAAAATACTTCAATGAGCTACTTGAACTTTGTTGGGTTGACCTAAGCAAGATAGTGTACTCAGATAATTATCATGGATAGACCAGCACTTTTAAAACATGATGGTAACCTATAACCATTAAAATGAAACCTAAAAAAGTGAGCTTGTTTTTAATGAAACTCAATAAACAAATTTAACCCTGAACAACTGATCTTTGTATCTAATTATACAAGGACTTCCTGAAGGAATTAACCATTGTGCAGAGATCTGGTAATGTGGTGGACAACAAAATTTCAAGAAAGAAAAAAATCATACAATAGAATTTAAAAATGTTCAAAATATCTAAGCTGAAAAAACGGAAGGCACATAACCCACAGAATAACTATTTGAACTTACTATATCATGTATTCATTAATCAGCCAAGGAGCACAACACAGTGTTAATGTCCTCTGTACGATGCTGATCAGCATAGAGGCATGCACCATAGACAGTGACACACACTTTTTAAATATAATTTGCCATTGTACATAGCTGGCCATGAGAACAGCATGTTGAGGTAAAATAATAATTAAACGAAGTTTATGAATTCCTCCAATCTGGACCAAATGGATCAATGCACAACCCCTACCCGTGGATCTCACAATCAAACACTAACACCTTCAGAAGAAAAAAAAAAAAGGTACGAACATTGATTGCACTCAGATTACTATACATTAAAAGAACTGACCTTCCAGAGTTCCTCTTTATCAATGGCATTTTCCACATAAACAAAATCAGATCCATTATGTTCCGAAACAATCTTCTGAACAATCAACGTCTGCTCCCGTGCATATGCTTCTGGTGATGTGTAAATGTAAAAAAATGTGTAAGCAAGGAACAGCTTAAGCCATATAACTGAGAATGACAAATTATTCTGGCATCGATTCTATCATAAAGAGCCTTCCAGATGCCTGATTTGTGAAGCATGAAACTGTTACATATGGGAGCAAAAGTTTCTAACTGCACTTCACTTGGTTCACAACAGAGTTTTTTGGTTGGTAGCACCGTAGCAGCATATATTAAAATCTTGGTCTGGTGCCAATACGGTTGATGGCCAGACCAGGACGGTACCAGAATGGCTTGACACACTGATGTTCGATCCAGGGCAGTACTGGTAAATCAGTAATGCACAGAAAGAGAGTGAAGAGGGAGCGAGGAGATAGAGGATAAGGTGGTGGAGATGGAGGAGAAGAGGAGGCAATTGTGACAAAGGTAGAAAAGGCAAGAGAAGAGAGAGAGAGAGAGAAGACAACTATTAACAACAGTCAACAGTTTATAAAAAGTTTGACAAAAATTAAACGGACCAGTACCAGCACCAGAAAGGGTGTGTATGGTACTGGTGGATCACATGCACACAAGATGGATACAACCCATACCAGGACAAACAGGGGAAATCATCTCATCTGCAACCCCATTGGGTACCATCCAATAAATGCCCATAGTATGGTTAGTACTTTAAAGTTTAATCCATAAGTAACAGTACACTGGACAACGAGTTACAGTTGATATCTCCCTGATGCATCAACAAAGCAAAGCTAATGCTTACAAGACATGAAATGATTGATAACAGCAGCAACATCATTTTGTAGGACAAAAGCAAAATGAGTTCACAAAGAATTAAGGAAACGTCAATACTACCCAAAAAAATAAAAAAGAAACAGGGAAATAATGCAAAGATCCAAGGCAGAATTGTTCTTACTATTAGTAACTATTCTTCTATCAAAACAAAACATCCATCAGGCTCATACGGAAAGCAGACCTAGGATGGCAACACTCATTTAAATGAGATTTGTATATTTATGGTCAAAGTTAAATAATTTACAAATATTTCATAGCAAGGTTCACCATACCATGGTATACCGCTCCATATGAGCGGTATATACCAGTCCGACAGGCGACTAGTACGAGAGGTACATCGGGTATACCAGTGATTTAAATAGGCACTCGGGCAAGGTGAAACGAGGCCCGAGCGCCTCATGTGTACTAGGTGGTGCGCTTCAATAAGGCACCTCATGTGTGGACTAGGCCCGAGTGCGTCATGTGTGGACCAAGCGCCGGGCACTTCAAGCGAGCGCCCGATTCAAATAAGACAACTGAACCAGACTTTTAAGTCTGGTTTGATTCAACAGTAGACTAACGCAATTTCTTACCCTCAAAAGCCACTCTTCACGCCCGCGCAACCCCGAGCCAACCCTAGCGTTACTTCTGCCTACGTCGCCGACGCCGACACTTTTTGCCGCTGCCTCCATTGCAGTCGTAGCGAACTGAGCCTTCCTTTGTCACCGACGGACGGGTCCGACGGCCTAGCAAGAGCCCGTAGCTTCCTTCCGCCACCACTCCATGTGTAGTTCCTTCCACTATCAAGGGAGAGGACCACAGGTTCCTCCGCCACCGACGGACGCCCTTT